ATCTTCTCAAGTTATAAGCTTGATAATCTCCACAGAATAACGTTATTGGACCGAACGATCTCCTTTTTCTTCCTTGTGAGCCGGTTACCTCAGGGGAAAATTAAAGAGACCTTTGACTTCCTCTCGGAGATTGCGTGATATTCATCTTTCTTTAAGCTTTTAAAAGATATTTGGGAGAAAAGTATGGAAAATAATGGTGATGAAATCGCTGTTCTTTTTCCTGAAGGACATGAGGCAATCCAGATTACATATTAACCATGGGGAGTTTCGTTCAAGTGACAAGTTGCGATTTGCGTGTGGATAATAACTTGTTTGAAAAGAGGAATTATGACATTATGATTTCATTACATCTTTTATTTCGAACTTTGTTATGATTTTTACTTTATCAAGACATGGAAGGAAACATTGATTGACTGCACTGATTGACTAGCACTGCGGCGGTGATAAGTCTCTCCTCGTTATATCTTATGCAAATTTTCTAACAGTTTTCTGACAGTTTTCAGATGATTTGAAATATCTTAGTACCTGTCACAAGGAAATGATAACTGCCCGAATCTGCTCTTTGTAAGGAGATGCATATGTCGTTCAAATTGCTATTGTTGCAACTGGGTTTTACATGTATTACTGCCGCTGACAAGCTGCGATTTATACTCTTAGATTCTCTGTGTTTACGAGCGTTAAGTCACGGTTTTCCTCTTTTTTTTTTGGCTGCTTTTACTTCAGAAAGCGGAAATCTTCTGACATATATGAAAAATATCCATTTCCTGTCTTCTTTGGAGCGACCGATGGAAACTTCATGGAGAAATACAGCGTCACGCCATCGTGACAACGTACATGTTTATGACAAATGACCGGTGTGAGGATACTTTCGTGTAGATCAGCCGACTTCAACATGTTTCAAATGACATACAAGTATATCAGTGTATCTTCAGAGGACTTCGGGTTGCTCAAATTCCCATGAAAGAAGGTGCAGCACTCGGAATCTGGATGATATGCACACGATTTGAGGTATATGTTTGTAGTTACGTCGAGTAGTCCTTCATGAAGGTTGATCAATTTTTTTTAAAAGATGACAACCAGAGGCGAGATTTCTCTTCGGGATATTGCTCATAAGATAACATTCTTCCAAAGCCGTGCATGTTTCACTTTTCTGAAACATTTGTTGTTGAGAACATTAGATGTAAACATCGTTATGCAATATCTGATTTTGAGCTTTTTTCTCGAATTGCCCCTATACAAAGTAGAGGCAGGCCCGCAGAGATTTTTACATATTTAAAAACTAGAATATTATAACCAGCTAGGTGGGTAGTTTCAGTTCCAGAATCAGTGTACTTTTGGAGAAATTCAGATAAACATTTTCCCTGTTTTACCCGACAACAAAAATGACCGAAACTGTACCGAGATGAATAATCTATTGGTGTGTTTACATTCACTCTCAGGGAAAATTGAATGAATCAAAGTAATGATGAATAATGTCACTATGTATGGTAGAAGTGCCAATTTGTAATGTTGTATTTAGCTTGACATAGAGAAATAAACATTTCACTCTTTTTTTGCAACGTTTTTGTATGAAAATGAGGCCTTAGGCCTCAAACAAGCAGCCGTTATTACCATGGCAACAAGAATGCTACGACCTTTAAAAAGGGTATTTTTGTGCATCCCCGCTGAGTGCCTAACTGCATGCAAAATTTGAAGGGGGGTTGAAATTTTTCATTTCCCAAGATGTTTGATTCTTACAGAGACTCGTTCTTAAAGTCTCCATAAGTTATGACCTTACTGAATCATCATTAACAAGATCTTTGATATTTTGTACACCAGCTTCTGCCCAGTGCTTGTAAAAAAAACAGGCCTATTACCAATTCTGACTAATGAGTTATTCCAAATCATGCTACTACTACAAAAGTCGTGTTTGGAGAGGAAGTCCAGATTTCGATAAGTTCTCGGAGGAAGTCCTCCTTGATATCATGTTTGGTAGCGTATTTTTTTCCAAATTCCCATGAAAAACTAATTTCCTTCCCATTTTGAAAGAAAGAAATCCCCCAAATTTTTCCATTTGGATTCACAATCATCAGAAATATACTCTACTATTCACGCAATCTTTAAAGACTTACTGATTGCTATGATGTCCAACATTTTTTGACCACCATCGCCATAGTCAGCAATCATTTTAGGCCATTTGATTTTGTCCCTTTTTCCATCCGAGAGAAATTTGAAAAGCAAATCATTTATTTCTTTTAACGATTTAAAACATGTACGTAATGAGGACAAAATGTAGACCAATTGGGATACAGCCACGTCTTTATAATTGCAATCTTTCTAGAAAGGGTTAATCTCTTGTTTTGTCAATTGTTGAGAATATCTTCAGCTTTGTGAACCTTGTCTTTGTAGTTCATTTTCATTTCTTCATTTTGGTCCGTACAAAACCAAACACCTAAAGCCTTGACTTTACATTTCAAGTTTTTTTGTGGGCAAATAATTTAATTTGACCCTTTCTTTGATCCTATCCAGAGAACTTCGGTTTTTCCACGGTTAACTCGCAAGCCAGATAGTTGACCGAAACTGTCTAACAAAGCGAAAGACCTCTCAAGTGACGCTTGTGAACCATCTAATATCATCGTGGTGTCGTCCGCATACTGACTTAATTTACACTCGATATTTCCAACAGAGAGTCCTTTTATCTCATTGCCTCCACGAATAGCTATAGCTAACACCTCGACAAAGAGAATAAATAGGTGAGGCGAGAGCAGGCAGCCCTGCCTTACACCTCTAGCTAAGCTAAAGAAACTCCCCGACCATCCATTATTAATTATGCAGCTTTGAATATCAGAGTAAAATAAATTAATCCAATTAATTAAAGAGGAACCAAAACCAAAATGCTCTAGCGCTTTCCGCAAGAAAGTCCATTCAATAGTAACGAATGCTTTTTCAAAGTCGATGAACAGGAGTAATCCAAGAATATCTTTCAAGTGGGTATAGGAAATAACATTATTGATCAAACAAATATTTTCTGCAATAGAACAGCCTTTCAGAAAACCGGTCTGATCGTGATCTATTAGATCCGACAACTCAAACTTGAGACGAGAAGCTTTTGATGCAATTTTGTAATCGCAGCTAAGTAGGGTTATGGGCCTCCAATTCTTCAATTCGTTTGATGCTTTGTCTTTTTTCGGGATCAAAGAAATGATACCCCTCCTCTGAGTTATGGCTAGTTTTCCTTTTTGATAGCTTCTATTAAGGGAACTTGTGAGGAAAGGAGGTACATCTTTCCAGAAAACTTTATAAAATTCGGCAGGGAGAATGTAACAGCCGATTTACCGGATTCCATTGACTTGAAAGCTTCTAGACATTCTTTTTCAGTCAAGAGACCCTCGCATTTTTTCTTATCCATTTCGTTGAGTTTGTGGTGTTCATAGCCAAAAAACGTTTTTCCAAATGTTCTATTATTTTGGTACTTTTGGTTGTGTAAAGATCACTGTAAAAGGAGTTACACTCTCTCAGAATATCTGAGTCATTGGTAAGATTTGCTCCATCCTTTGCCCTGATTTGCATGATTGTCTTTTTTTTTGCAGTGGCGATTTTCAAGGCCCAGGAAATATTTGTTATTTTTCTCACCTTCAGTATACCATCTCGCTTAGGATCCAATTATGGCTCCTTTTGTTTTGTACTCAATAATGCTCTCTAATTCCCTTTTCTTCACCCTCCGTTGTTCAGCAAGAGCTTCTTTGTCGTTGTTTATACAGTTCTCCAACTGCCTTTCGAGAGCGGCTATATCATTTTCAATATGGGTTTCCTTTTTTTTCATTTTCTTTGTTTTCGCCTTTGAGTCTTTGATTGAAGTATCTCTAATTTGAAGCTTAATCATTTCCCATAACAACGCTTCGTCTACTGTTTCGTCATTTTCACTTTCGTCACGGTTGACTGTTTCAAGAGTTGTCGATTTAATATTGTTTACGTAATCCATTTCACCCAATTGTGATGAGTTTAATTTCCAAAGGCCTGGTCCTCTGGGATGGGTCTGGTAATTAATAGCGATGTTGCACAAAGAATGGTCCGTTTTATAGTCGAGAAGGATGTCAGCTTTTAAAATTCTTCCGGCGAGACTTACACTGACAAGGAAAAAATCTAACGGACAATGTATTTCAGGTTTGTTTTTTCTCCGTGTGTATCTTATCCCCTCTGGGTTTAAGTCCCGCCATATATCGGTCAGATCAAGATTATCTCGAATATTTTGAATCACTTTCAAGGAATTTCGGTGCATCGTTAATTTCCCACCCTTTTTGTCCTTTGTGACATCCAGAACAAGATTAAAATCTCCCCCAAGAATAATTTTCTCCCACCTAAACATTATCATTTGTTCACGTACATTTTGAAAGAAAATAGGGTCGTCTTTGTTAGGTGCATAAATATTACAGTTGGTTAAGATTAGCTCACCGACTTCTAAATCAATAATAATGTACCCTCCTTCCTTATCACATATTTGCCTCAAAACCTTAAAGGTAAAGTTGTTATTGAAAAGGATAGCGACACCTGCTTTGTTACTTGCAAGGCCACTGAAAAAAGCTTTATAACCCCATTCAGCGGCCCAAGTCTCAAAGGACCTTTCGGTACAATGAACCTCTTGCAGCATGTACTTAGAAAACTTTTTCTTTCTTAACCACTGAAAAATTCTCTTCGTTTTTCGTTATTGTCCAAGCCTCGTACGTTAAGGGATGAAATAGTTATGTTAGATATTGCAAGCTCTACTGAAACTTAACTAAATTAGTTGGGTTTCATACATAAAAGACTTTCCCACTAGATACCCTGAACACCAAAATAGGAACACAAAATAAATATAAACATGGCTAAACAAATATGCATCTATAACAACACCAATTACATTAACCTTAAAAGACATACTTTGATTGAGAAGGTCTCCAAGGCAAGCCAAAGCACGTCTTTCGGTGAAGAAATGTCGAGCCTCTTGTCATAAGATTTTTCTTGTTATTAGTAAAGTTGTCTGTTCATGATCGTGGTATGTATTTCTGACCGTTGATGTATAGTTTGTCATAGATCAATTTGGCGTCGCTCCCCTCTCTCTTTGCTTCTTTTAAGACTTTCACTAGGCCTCTTAGTATTTCTACAATCTCTCGGGAGAAATCTTGTAAAATTCCGAAAACTGCTCCAGCGAGAATACGGGCGTTGGATAGTATGAATCCTTTATTCTTATAGAAACTAAACTTTGCTTTGATCGGGCTTCTCATCATTTGCATTTCGTTTACCAAGTCGATGTGCATGTTCTATTGAAATTCCGTCGATGTCGTCTTCTTTCAACTTCAGTTCGTCTCCTAGAAAAGAGTAAAGCAGCGACTCGGTCTTGGCGCTTGTTTCATTCACTTCTTCAGGAATACCAAAAAATATCAAATTATTTCTCCGACTGTGGCTATCTAATTTTATTGCGCGTTCCTTCTCAAAGCTGGCACTTTTTGTCAAGTTGTTCACACCTTTCTCCAGCTCAGAAATCCTCTTTGCTTGAGCATCAACTTGTACAGTCAAAGTTTTGATAGACTCGTGAGCGAACTCGAGGCTTTTTTCCAGCTCTTTTTTCCAACTGCTTTTGCTTTTCTTTAGTCTCGTCAATTTCTTCCATCCGCGCCAGAACCAGGTCAAGTTTACGGTTCATCTCGGTTAAAGTGTTGGCCATATTGCGACAACCGCCGCAGCTTTCATTATCTTCGGTTTGTGAGCCTGATCTTTTCTCCTGGCCCTCTTTCGACCTGTCTCTGGAACTTTGTTCCCCATTTGGTCTGACATAATTAGTGCTTTTGGCGTCTGGAGAAGTTCTTAAGCCATTTTGAGCAAAAGACTCACAGACATTAAAAAGTTGCGTTCGTCCGCTCTGGAGGTCGGTCCCAATCAATTATTAATCGCTGGCACCGAGAAGCATGCACAGCCTTGTATAAGTTGAAACTCATCAATTTAATTGTTGTCGAATTGGTCCCATAAGCGGAAGATGTTGGCTTGCAAGTTTAGATTTTTTGCCTTTGCATTCTTGTTAGCTTCTCCTCCGAAACCAGTCTTACTTGTAGCTTTGTCAATATGGCCTCATTGTGTAGGAGGTAGAATGGGAGATGACTAATTTTTAATTTATATGCTTGTCAAAGTAGTTGCAAAACGTTTCTATGATTTCATAAACACTCTTATATTAAACTGAGGGTAACAAACCTTCTAAACACCGACCAGGCAGATGGCTTCCAATTGGTACTTTCAATTCATGTACTGTGTACATAGGTCATAAGCTCCTCTATTACGGGGTCGTTGTTTTCGTTCCTCAGGGAATTGAATACTGGAACAGTGTATTCTGATGGTAGGTAGGGGAGTGCCATCAATTTCTTGAGAAAGAGGTGGACTGCATGGTCTTGATAATCTCTTACAAGACCAAAGAACTGGATCTGACGAAAGAAAAAAAAAGACACTTATTAGAGATCTCAGAAGAAATCTCTCAGAATGTATTACAATCAATGCACATTAGTGTGTGAATAACAGTATCCCTGCAAGTCCTCTAGATTAGCAATAGTAACCATGATAATGATAATAATAAGCATTTACCTTGCGGAAAACAGCCTGACTCCAGTGGAAGGCACATCCCTTCAGCTTCACACTAAGTAAAAACCCGACTACCATGTTGCTGCCTCGAAGTCGAGCACCACTCTCTTTGACTTGTTCTTCCGTTGGCAGTATTTCAATGACTCTCTCCATTACCTAAAAGCAGAAATGGTGCCAATCTTTGTACATTACATCTCCAAGAAGGAAATCATCTAGTATGTGTTCTGCAATCTCAAAGTCAAAGTCGTTTGGATATTTAGGTCTACTTTTTTGACAGCTCTTGTTGGCAGTCCAGGCCATGTAGTCCACTTTGGGAAGAGCACTACAGGGTCCCTGGTCCATGTTCTCCAACATGACCTTATCAAGATAAGTTAAAGTTAGATAAGTTTTGAACTTATCTAAGATAAGGGCATAAGATGGAATGAGATAAGATGAAAGTAATATAATACCTCTATAATAATTACTGATGCAGATTTAAACACATCTTCCATCGCACGTTTGTTGACTTCCTTGCTAATTTTAGCTACCATTGAAACTCCAGTTTTTGGTTCATGGTTGTGGTTTATAGGGCCAATCACAAATTCAGCACCACATTGCTTGACATGAGCTTTGCATGAAGCGACCTATATAACAACAATTATTTCATAAAAATCCATTTTTTGATTCTACTTTATTTGGAATACCGGTCGATAGGTATACCACAGTTTATATACTATCAATGGTCTTGTAGTGTGACCTTCAAGAATGTTCTAGAAGTAGCTGTGTCATGCTGAGTCATCCCTGAATCGATATCTAAATAGAATCTATTGTGATGTTGCGGAACGTTCTAGATCCTCAACTTTACTTATAAAAGCCGAGCTTGTAACTAGATCTAGCGAGTAGTTTAGTTGCTGGTATAGCCCGTCAGATATCAATAAAGGTGTATGCTGCAGAATACAAGACGTCCACACTTCAAATCTAATAATACCATTTATGAAATTCGAAACTTAAAGACATGCCAAGAGAACTGAAATACATTGCAAACATCATCTTATTAAGTATCTTATTTATAGGAGATACTTACCTTTCCTCTTTTAGTGCAATGCCAGTTAATACCACTTTTGCCAGAATACTTATTTGTGTAGCTGTACTCACGGCTGTTCACAAGGATGTCACCGACCCTTTTAGAGGCATCTTGATCCACTCCAAAGGATTGGGGCTCGAATGTTGGCTGACAGCCCTCAGGTGATGGATCTTCAAGGATTGCTTATGAAAAAGAAAGAATTGATAGAATTAGGATATCATTGTATTATATAAGAACATATTTAATTAAGTTATCACTTGTTAAAATAACATAATTGCAGTTATAAGTTATTCAGTCCTCATATAACAATACATCTGGTGCATTTAATCACTAATATCCCTCAATGCCATATTACTTAAAAATGTATGGAGTTGTAATAGATTTACCCACCCATAGATCTGATGCTGTCTTCCATGCTGACGTCCATTGGCTCCTCTGGTGTTTCTGTGACAAAGAAAATCAGCAATTTAATTAAAGAGACCAGTAAACTACTAATATTGCAAAAAAGGAAAAAAAAAGGAAAACATAGCTCAGGACATTATGAGAAGGAAATGTGTCAGTGTTATGTAAACTGCCACTATAATACACTTAACATCAAAATCAACTGGAGTTGCCGGAGGATAAGCAGAATTGTCTGTGACTGGAACTGTTAAACCTGTGCATTAAAACAAAATGCAAACTAAATCAACAACAGTGAAGGTAATAGACGCTTAACAACAAGCATAATATTCCCATTTCTTTCGCGCGAATTAAACGGCAAGTCTCTATCTTTGTCACTATTTAATAAAATATATCACGTTACAACTTAATTTTAAAAAAAATGTTATATCTTTGACGAAAAGACTTGATATTGGACGAATGGACCTTAGACTTTAGACGAAAAGACTCTTGGACGAAAAGAACGGATATCGAACAGATGATGTCCTGAACTCACAGATTACGACAAGGGACAGTAAGAAAATTCCTGAACTAAAAGGAGAAACAGTTGCTACCGGGAAGGCCGTCAATAGGAATACGGTAGCGAGTAAAAGTACTGCTAAAAATGTGGTGACTTGCTCGAGTGTGATGTCCACAGGGCAATCCTCTCGTGTTTTGTAAGGTTTGAAGGAACTGAAGGACCTTCAACAACAGTCGCCATCTTCTATGAATGACATGATTTCAACTATGAAATCTGCATTGAAAACTTTCACTTGAAATAAAACTTCTAGTAAGAGGAAAAGAGACGAAATGAGTGATTCGGACCAGGAAAGCGACGAGGAATCCATAACTGAAACGGGGGAAAAACCGCTCGATATTTCCAGGGAAAGTTAAGGAACTTCTAAATGCGAGCGACCCTTCAAGAAAGGTAACCGGTGAATGCTAAATTAGCTTTGCTTGTTGACAAGATGGTAATCAAAGTGCTCTGTGAGCAAACTCGTGAATTGACACATGATTTTTTGGATTATGTTTAATGTTATCTGGTTTAGGGAATTTTGTGGTTGATTGTCATATCTAGAGTACGAGCAGTAGTTCAGTGTTCGCTAATGTAGCAAAGAAATAAAGTAACGTTGGGATAAGAAGGCATTACAAATGAAATGATCATGCTATTGCAATTGACAAGGGTGGATGATGTCATGTGTTTTAAACTTATATCATTTCTGTTTCTGGTTCAAAAGAAAAGGTTGGAGGTAAATGTAGGTAAAAAGGTGAAATTTACTGTCTATCATTGTAAATATTACAAAATCAAGGCAATACTGTCTTAATGAGAACATTAACGATTCCCTCTTTATCAAATGAGACAAACGGGAACGAGTTTTGAGTGATATAACTAAGCCAAGACTGCCACCGTCAGTTTGGATCTCCGCCTGGGTAGATTTTAGTCACGTGCTAGGCAACGTACTGAATCAATAACAAGATAGAATTTCATTTCAGGCCTATTTATCAATTTTGTGGTGTATAACTTTCGCATTTTAGTACGTAATATGTATTTTGAATCTTCAAATTGTCTTGAAACTTAAAGAAAATTGTTCTTTAAAAATTCACTGAAAATCGGTAGCTAAAATTGTTTGTTTAGGTGTTATTTGATTTTCGTGTTAACTTGTAATTTCGTTAGTCGCCGGCATCTTCTGTTGCTTCACACAGGAAAAACACACGTTACGAAGCTTAATGATCGATTTTGTCCTCAATCTCACGCCGTAGCAGAAAAAGCTTTTGAACATCTGTAAACTCCGAGCGCTTCGCAGTAAAGGATATTTTCAATGAATCTTCGGATTGTTTTCAAGTTCAAGGATTGTAAATTACAATTTTATGAAAAACGAAGGTTGTTCTGTTATTTCATTGTGAATCCTTGCATGCCTGCCAGTCGCTGGCGCCGCTTGTTGAAACCAAAACGAAAAAAAAACACTCCTTTAAGATTATCATTGGCTTCTTTGTCACCCCACCACTATTCTTAGCAACAAAGGTCACCATTTCGTTTGTTATTTGCTCGCCAAAAACTATCAAATGCGCTCAAAAGCCTAAAATCGAAAAAAAGTTTACAGGAGTCGACCAATCGAGCGAGCAAGCGAGTGCCATTCCCCACATAGTATCTACAACTCGCTCTTGCGCATGCGCAATTCGCGAGTTAAAAACCAGTCTCGCTGAGGACAAAACAAAAAAAAGCACGAAAAGTATAACAGACTAGAAAACTGTGAAAATTTGATAAACACAAGAGTGAATCCAGATTTCTAGAGTAACAGAGCAAATACCAGGTCCAGTCAAGTCAACTCTTCTGAAGACTATGGTCCCTATTATCAAAATATCTGATAAATTGCTGGAGTTAAAATCAAACTCCAAAGCAGTGTCTAAAGGGGATATCTTAGATTTTCTTCAGCCCTCATCAGATTCTCTAGCTCTTTTGGGACACTCTATAACTGAGGTCAATATCAAGTATCATGAGCTTATACAACCTGACTTAAATGATCAATTCAAGCAACTTTGCAGTGCTCAAACTCCTGTGACTAAAATGCTAATTGGAGATGACTTACCAAAGTCAGTGACTGAAATTTCTGAAACAAAGAAAGTGGGTGTCAAAGTTTCATCCAAACAGACAGGATATCACCACAAGCAGCAAGGGAGATCAAATTTCTCTTATTGCGAGAACCACCAGAATCAGAAGCCTTTTTAATGGAAAACTTAGGGCTGGGGAGAGATCTTCTCTAGACCCCAAATGGAAGGGGAGACACGAACAACAACAATAACTGCTGCTAAGCCTTAACCTAAACCTAAATTTGCAGGTGAGTCTTAATAATGATAATGATCATGCCAATGCATATAGCATATCATTTGTTGCTGGTATATTAAAACATTTTCTACCTGCATGACAAACTATAACCTCTGACTATTTTATACTTAGTTTTGTAAAGGGGTCAAAATTGAGTATTGTAACTATCCCCAACAGACCATCATTCCTAGAGAATACAATTTCAATGCAACTAAGGCACTTATTATTGACAATCAAATTGCAAAGTTTTTAGAAACAGGATTTATTGAGAAAACAACACATTCTGAAGAATACATATCCAACATTTTTATTTGGCTGAAGAAAGATGGCTCATATCAACTGATTCTCAGTCTGAAATATCTAAATCAATCTGTGCAATATCACCATTTCAAAAAAGAAAAACTAAGAAGTGTCATCACTCTAATGAGCCCTAACTGTTACATGGCTAACATAGATTTAAATGATGCCTACTATTCTGGGTCTATAGACCCAAATCATAGAAAATATCTTTGGTTCAAATGGAAGAACCACTTTTTTCAGTTTACTTGTCTTCCCAATGGATTGAGTAGTGCTCTGAGAATATTCACAAAATTAATGACGCCAGCATACTCAACCTTGCACTCCAAAGGTTTTGAGAATGTGGGCTATATAGATGATACTTATCTCAAAGGGAACACTTTTCAGGATTGTGATGAAAACAATCAAGCTATTCACAAATTTGGGCCTTACACTTAACAGAGAAAAATCAGTTCTTGTTCCTAGTCAGTATATTAATCTTATGGGTTTCACACTAAACTCTGTTGAAATGAAAGTTTCTCTGACACCCACAAAAGCCACAAAGATCAAATTAAAAGCAGTTGGCTTGTACCATAACCTCTCTCCCACTGTCTCTGAGGTGATTGGTCTTATGGTAGCAAGCTTCCCTGGGGTACGGTATGGTCCCCTATATTATAGTCAACTTGAACTAGAGACAAGGTTAAAACCTTAAAACAAAATAAAGCCAATTTTAAAGCCATCATGACTCTTTCAGACATGGCAAGATCTGATCTTCTATGGTGGACTGAAAATATCACCACCTCATGTAACACTGCAACCCATGCTACACCCCAAGTAACAATTCATTCAGACGCCTTTCTGACTGGCAGGGAGGAGTTCTTAATTCCATATCAACTAGGGGTCAGTGGTCTGAGGATCAATCTAAACATTATATAAATTATCTTGGAATTTTAGCTTGTTTTAGATTTTTTATTGTCAAATTAATAACTCAAAAAGCCTTCAGCTAAAATTTGACTTGTCATAAAAAAGCTTATACTTTCTTGATTTGATATCTCTATTAGCAATAAAACCAGAAAGCATTTGCTTTTGTGTTATTAATTATATATATACCTGACTTGTTAAAGTACATTGTTGTGAAATGATGTACTTAGCAATAATTAATCTAAATAGACAAAACTGTATTAATGTTTAAATTGTTCCCTGGACCGCCTGGACATCTGGAGCAGCTCATAATGCATTTTGGGAGTGGTAAGGATGCTTGCTTCATAGTGGCTATAGCTGTACCTGTCCTTGAATTTACCCTGTTGGTTGAAGTGGATTTTCCATACATTGTCTGTTATTTTCTTTCAGGAAACTTTAGTCTGCAAGAAGAAAAGTTTTTTACAAAAGAATCCTTTCCTATAACATGTGTAACTGTTGATTAAGTGTGCAATATTACTGGTATTTTTTATCATAACAGAATTTTCTCAAAAATTACTTGACATCGGATTCTCATACAAATACTGCATGGTCATGCCTGCCCACCAACCCATCAAGTTGGTGTTGAAAACTGCATTAAGGTCTATTGAATATAGTTAAACTACTGAGTTTCACTCTATGACTTACAGCTACAAAATATGGGGCTTTCTATGATTATGTACTAAACAACAACAACAAAAAAAAGCTCTCTTGGCTCATTTGCATGAAGACACATGATATAATACAATAAATTTCTTGTTTTTGTATCCTGAGTCAGTACAGTTAGAATCTATATTTAGATCTTAATTATTATCATTTAAATCCAACTAAATGTATTTCTTTTATTACTTTTCCACTGACTACCAAACCAGCAAGCCTTGAGGCATTAAACAGAGAGGACTTTAAAAAAGGCCCTGTAATGTGTACATGCAGCTGCTTTGGGGGAGGGGAGTGATAAAGTTTCAAATTTGTTTAAGAGTATGTAACACAATAACAATAATGACGATAATAATAATAATAATGACAATAATAATAATAATAATAAATTTTCTCCATCCTTTGCTACAAACACATCTGACCTATAGTAATCAGTGGAACATATCAGAATAGCCTTTTTATTAATGCAAGGCCTTGATGGTCCACAGTTATGATATGGAAATAATTTTCTCTTGTGTGAGGCATCAGTCAATTTAGGAATTACCAAGTGTAATATTTCAAGTCAATATGGTCCAGAAACTATTAATTATTTTAGAGGGAAGGGCTGGGGGGGAGGGGTCGAAATTATTAGATTTGCGTACTATTTTCACTCTGCACCCTGAGCACTCATATACGCATACTTCAAATAGATGCGCAACATAACAGCGACAAAAAATAATCGAGCAAATAACTAGGACGTGCAAAGCTTCCAGGGATAATATAAATTTACTGCTCTAAACAGTGAAAAGGTCTTAAATATTTTATTCTTAGCTTCTTTTAAGGTACAACTTCCTATGACCTTCTGACGAGATTATCAAGTTGTCAAACAAATACGTATTTTGATATGACTGATGCCAATTGTCTCATAAAGTCGAAATAAGCTGAATGTCAAGAATAAATAAGTGCTACACTTAAATAAATAAATAACTAATTAACTACATTTATGACAAATTTTGTAGTTCATTAAAATAAGGTACTTGGTTAGATAACATGGTTCAACGAAAGGTTAATGTTGTTTGCCTGCTGGGATTTGGTCTTCAAGACCAATGTCAACGTTACCGCTATTTTGACGTGCTAAAATTACATTTAATAAATTTTCAAGACCTGTTCTCGATGAGGTGCACTTCTTCACTTTGGTTCCATTTGACCATGAGTAGTGTTTAGAATTAGCGAAGAAAGCGTATTTTAGCCAAAGGCAGAAGATTCGTATATGAACGGAGCTCAGCGAGATAAGGTATTATTCTTTCTCGCGAAAATTAAAAAAAAAAGTGAATAGATAAGTTCCCATTTGTTTTTTCCCGAACAAAAATGTTCCCTTCCCTGTCCCCTCTCCAATGGCACTTCAACCAGTCGGGAGAGGTGAGTGAAGAATATTGTCCATATGTCATCAGAAGGCTTGGTTACCTAATTGAGCCTGGTGTCTAAACTCCTTCAGAAAGTGATCCCAAAAAATACTTTTGCGCACATAGGATCCCTGTACCGAATGATGACGAAATAGAATTGAGAATTAAACGAGACTTACCTCTAATTTGAAATATGATAGTAATTCTATTGAGTCATCATGAGGTCCTAGGGATCTAATGCCCACCCTTATTTGCGTATGAAATAAACCCACCCAATTTAAGGTGTGCAATTCATTGTTCGCCTTCAAAGTTGATTTCGGGGATTGGATTGCGCAATCTCATGTGATCTCCAGCACTTCATGATGACTCAATAGAATTACCATCAAACTTCAACTTACAGGTAAGTCTCGTTTAATTCTCAATTTCGTAATTTCAATTCTTTGGTCTGTGAATTGTAAATTTAAGATTCGATGTGTTTAGAGGAGCAAGTGGTACTCGGCATCGTTAATCTATTCGTCAGCTTGCAAATTATAATTTTTGCCTTTCTTAGACACATAGCTGAAAGGGAGGGAACGTCGATGCTTTCAATTTGTTTAGAAACGAGACTGTAAACTGCAAAAAATTTTGCCAAAGAAATTACGAGAATGTGAGACGAAAGGCGGAAATAAAATGCAATTTGCCGTTGCTGGTTTAACAAGCAACGAAAAGCCACATCATAATGTGTTTATGTTGCCGATGTTGCACTTTTCATTAATTGTTTTCTCTTTCCGAAATGATAACCTTGAAAAGGCCACCGTTTTCATTCATCCTAGGTTAAACCCCATAGGGGAAATACTGTAAGTTTTGACCTTCGAAAAATCAGTCATTTTTAACCCAGGCCGTAAATTCAAAAATTGAATAAATGATCGTATTTAACAAAGAAATCATTTGTTGATTCTTCCACTACGAAAATATCAAATAGATATAGGCTGACTTCCTATTGGGCTTTTAAAAAGAAAAGTAAATTTGTCCCCATTCAGGCCTCTCGTTTTCAGTTTTCATTCCCAATGAAAAGGAGTTTTAAAATTATTTTGTGAAATGACGCTAATTTCATTTCGTTAGTTTTGTTTAATAAAGTGTTCTGACCACTGAAAAATATGTTGCTATGAAGTTTGGCCTTGCCTTTTGGGGTGAAAGAGCTCAAACACAAAAAGTAGGGAGCATCATTGCACCATAAGTAATTATATGCCTTCAGGGGTCTTCTCCACGTCATTAACTTCATAAACGTGCTCTAGTTCAAAATCAAAAGATAGGTACTTTGTAAAAGATGACGCACATGTTTTGCATTGTTGACCGGAGCCGTTGGCTCAGTAACCTGCCCACACGACCACTTAATCAATGGCCCAGACCTGTCACTTCAAAGGACTTGAATGGGTGCGGAATACAAAAATTATCTTAATGATAATTACACAGTATTAATTCGATGGTTCAGATCACTTTATCTGTCCGTTAATTCTTTGTATTCTACCAATGAGACAAATAAATGAAAGCTGCAAATATAGACACCCAGTCGCAGCGATCTAAGAAGTGAGCAATTAAGTTATAATTGCACTGCATTTGTCATCGGGCAAAATGTCAAAACTGATATACGTCGAAACCTACATTTTCAAATTTTTTTCAAAAGATTAATTATTTAGCTAGAGATCTTTGGACGAAGTGTTAAACTTATTAGTTCATTGCAGCTTTCACTGTATCTTACCACATCGAAGTAGTTTTGCAATGATGTAAAGGAAAATGTTCACAAAAACGTTGTTTTTCCCCTCTTTTACACAAAGTTTAAGACTTCCAACGTGTCGCAGAAAAAAAGAAACACTGCACGATAGGTGTTCAAGACGCCCCTGAATATGCAGAAACCGGGAGACAAGTATATTAAAAAACTGAGAAATTAACATTTATCCCCAAACCCAGGGTAAACGAAATAAATTTTAACCTGAATCTTACTACAATATTGAAATCTTGTGACATCAAACTGATCCTAGCTGTTGAAAAAATAAGAAATAACAACGAAAGCCTGAGGCTATTCGGTAAAACTTATACATAACTACATAGATAATAACATAGAATATAGCGATACGATGGCCATTAAAGCACCGTAATGTCGAATGGATCCCTTAAGAACAAACAGAAGTGTAAGCAAACGCAAATTGAAACAGTGAGACTCGTTTTGAGATAAAGAACAAATTATTGGAAACAAAGGAAAAGGTCCATCTGCGACCACATTAAACCTAAAGTAGTTAAAGATATTTGAAAGTGACGAACAGTGACGCTTTTAATTTCAAGTCCAATATTAACATCCTAAGTGATTTTAAGAATTGAAAAGGCATAGTGTTAGGGAGAAATTTTAGATAAAAAAATGTCACTCAAGTGGAATTGGAGGGCTTGGGTCAAACTAGAAATAAGAAATAACAAATTCGCACTTTGTTTCCGTCAAGATTATTCAATTACACGGTTTGCAACTATAAACAGTTCTTCTTAAGTAGTTTTGGTCACCTTAAATCCTAAAATGAAGTGAACTGGACTGTATTCAAATAAAATCATTATTTCTAGCGTATTGAAGTGTGCTTTTGTGTACTATTTTTGTTTAAGAAACAGTCGTTCAATCATACTCCTCTGTGTGCAACTATTGATCGTACTGCTCTTTTGTTTGTCAAAATGAGAAATAATGAAAATAACTTTGTCATACAGAGCTCTTTAATTTGTTTTAAACATATCTCGTAGCTTTTAAACGATTGTGGAAGAAATAGCGTTTTTTGCGGCTCAGTTCAGTTGCCTAGTCACCGTATAACATAAATATGTTCGAAAATGATTGCTTGCGTTCAAAGGTTAGGTGCGGTTATCAAAACGGATCTTCCTGTTTATGAAAACTATGGATTTTTGTGTTCCCGTGCCTGGTAAATATATGTTGATTTTTATTTTGCATGTTTGATAGTTATGTGAGCAACAACACTACCCTTATGAATCGCCAGTTTCTGAGTATGTAATGTTATTTAAGTTGAGTTTGAGGTTTTTCTTAACAATTGACAGGACTAACTTATTGCAATTAAACATGGCTTAGGCGTTAATCAATCCTTCCAAACCTATTGTCTTCTCGTGAAACCTCCGCAAACAGTAGATTCAAGCATCATGGAACTGAACTCACTTGTTTAAAAAAATTGATCATCCCGTGATAACTTGATACCTTTTACTTTAGTCACGAAACCTTAAAGTGGTTTAGACCAAGTAACAGTCTACACGCATGGATCAAGACCTTAGTTTAACTCAGTGTGGCAAGTTGTCCGTATCAAGAGTAAGACAACTGAAATTTGAAGTATCTTAATTAGGTCCAGGGAGAGTAAATCAACTCGGCGGTATTTACATCAACGGAAAGCCCCTACCCAATGAAGTCCGAGAAGAAATCGTTGAATTGGCGCGACGCGGAGTTCGTCCTTGCGACATTAGTCGAAGGCTAAAAATTACCCATGGTTGTATCAGCAAGCTGCTATCAAAATATCAGAAAACGGGATCAATTAATGCTGGAGGTGCTAATGTCGGAAGGCCAAGAGTGATAACTCTCCGAATGGAGCAGAAGATAGAGCAGTACAGGCGAGAACAACCAGGAATTTTCTCCTGGGAGCTGCGTGATCGCCTATTGCGTGAAAACGTGTGCAATAGGGAGAATCTACCTTCGCTAAGTTCAATTAGCCGCCTTATCAAGCACAAGATGATCAATCTAGTCTCTAACAGAAAACGAGAATGCAGTGCGAATGAGGGCGAGTTTGCTGCTGTCGACACCAACACTTCCCATTCAAATGGTGAATCGTTAAATCAAAGAACGGAAGGGCATGCACGTAAGCAAGGTAAGGGAACAGTGATCACTTCTACTTACCGATGTTGTAACCAGCCTGTGAAACAATGCTTTCCATTTCCTCTTGACTAAGTGAGAGTTGCATATGGTTATGAGGCGTGAAGGAGCTACAAATCACAAGCCGCGTCGTAAAAAATCCTCTTCCCCTGATATCAAGATATTTTAAATTTCCTGATATTAATCCTTTAGCTCTTATTTTTTTCGTCAAGATATTATAAATTTATAATCCAATTTTTAATCGCCTGTCTTATATCAATACCCATGCCAACCAAAAACTTGAGATTTGGAGTATAACTAAATATTGAATAAAATTGATATTTCATTTTTCGCCGAACTTATCTGTCTATGAAATAAAGAATTTCTGATTCCACGCAGAATCGTATAACCTAACCTCGAAGCGTCTAAATTCCTCCTTCTAAAATATTTAAGATGGTAGGCGCATTCTAATTTAGATGAGAGTATCGAGAGAGTATTCAAATATGATTGTGACGTAACGCTTCGTGTGTTCCCCGGCAGAATTAAAAAAAATCAAACACTTTTGAAAAACGTGTAAAGTAATTTCAAATGCAGATGTGAAGGAGATTTAGAAAAGTCGCCCAGTTTGATTCTTAGTTAAGTTGTCTCCCCCCGCCCCCAACATTGAGCCCAGTGAAAAAAAAAATCAAAAGAAAGAGAAAAATCACAGCACTTTGACTGCCTCGATGATCATGAGCTTAAGGAGTTCTTCTAAGGAGCTCATGCGAAGATGATATAATATGAGAAAACTACGTAATAAAAGTATAAAGGGCCCCTTGAATTTTGCCTTTAAGAAATACAGTAAAAGTTTATGTAAGACATATTATACTGAAAAGTGAGCGCGAAAATCACTCCAAGCTCTGTGCTACAGACGGTAAATATTTTGAATCAGACTTTGCACGTTACGCCGCCCCAGTTTACCTGTCAAATTTTCTCGAAGTATATTTTTCTGGTACGTTCTCGGTGTTTACATTGGTAGCATTACATTGGTACAACCATTACATTGGTAGCGATAGTCGTGGACTTCTCTTTATTCAGAATGGTATTACAAACTAAATCACCATATCATGACACGCTCTGCCTGTAGAAATGGAAATTCCCTCGTCCATTATCGCAGCTGCTCCACTAGGTGTGCCGCAGTGTTCTCTCACATATTCCAAAATCTACAAACCACATAAGCTGCCATAAGTCTTCCGAGGGGACCAGCAGATCCCTAGCTTGTGCAATGATTCACATGAAACGATAAGTGATTCAACTTCTCAACCATGTTAGCCAGATGCCACATCGGGCAAGTTCATTTCACTTTCAAATTGGTCAGGCGCAGTGACATTCGTTTTCAGCCAAAATAAATTCCTCGCTTTAAGTTCTTTCCCTACAGAAAACTTTCGGTGCATTTGTGCAAGGTTCGGCCCATAAAAAGTCTGAAAAGTTCGAACCACGTTTGAAGTGGGCCTTACTTAGAGTTTTCTGGAGTTATACATGCAAAGTCTGTGAAAGTGAAATAGCTAATCTGAGTTGAATATTACTTTAAAGGGATTTGCTTTCTAACTGTTGTTTGAGAGAATGTTTAAGGTTATATCAAATTAATTCAAAGATTATGTTCTGCCGAATAAGTAAACAGTAACTTTGCCACCGACTTGATTAAAATAAACAATTGGAGACTTGGGGATGGAAGCTGAAAATTTGCACCTGGATTGAATATTTTTGCGAATTATTCATCATTGTTTCAAGTTTTTGACAGTAATCCGTCACTCATAATTTATTCAAAGTACGATTTTCTTTGCTCAGAAAAAATTGTTATGGGAATGAACAGGAATAACAGGAATGATGTGGTAATGTTATAATAATTAATAATCTGGGTATCTACTCTTTTTAACGTTTTCTACAGTTCGATTGCTGTAAATTAGATATATAAGTGATTTACTATTTGATACCATGGCATAAGAAAAGAATGGATACCCCATCAAAGCACACAAATTATCAAAAAAACCGTCATGATTAACAAAGGAGACAAGCTCGCTGTCTAGTCAGCCAAATGATAGAAATAACCATCGAGCCTGCGTTAGTCAAACTATGACAGAAAAACCTGATCCACCTTCGAAGTTCCGAAATTGTTTCCCCTTAACTACTGTAACTTTTACCTCTATCAGGCGGTCATGGTCGTCCTTTAATAAGTCCCGACGGCCTATCCGTATTGTTCTCCACCTGTATGGTCAATTGAACCGTAACCACTCTCATAAAACTAAGAATAGTCTTTGAGATAAAATAAAATCCATCTTTATCTGCCAAAATCAATTTAAGTAGTATTTTGAGCATTTGAGTCTTTGCAAATTATGTGATCAATTATAGCAAAACAATATTCCTATTCTGTGGAACTTGGGTGAGGCTGTCAAACGGGTGACTGATTCGACTTTATATTAAATGACAGCTGACTGGCTTTGCCTGACATAGTGCTCTCTACAAATTCCAAAATTTGACCGAAGAAATTCAAGAAAAATTTTATCCAATTCAGAGGAATAACTACCAAAAATCCTATCAAAGAGCCATGTAAGTAAAAACGGGTTGTGTTTGTGGCCGACTTATGGCCTCAAAACAGTCAGCGGGTTTTACTTTAATTTTTCTTCCTATTTATATTTTTTGTTGTTGTTGTTTTCGGAACAATCGGACCAGTATAAACGACTTCAAAGTATTTTTAAGACGAGAAAACTAAAAACTTCAAGCTGAAATGTCAGAAACATAGATTATATTTTTCACACAGAAATCGACAAAGGTGACAGTTCATATGACAAAATATCTATCCTAGAAGGAGAGACGCCATGTAACACGGAGTCATATCAGGAACAGTGATTATAGTACCATGAAAAATTGTAAGTCTCACAAACCTTTTGTCCGATCTCCGGTCGAAAGCTAGCCAGTCTTCGCCACAAGGATGTTGACTTAAAAATACCTTAAAGAAGTTTATAAGCAGCCTTCACCGCTAAAACAAAGAGGGCATCTAGTTAGTACTATAATGAAACACGTGGCAGGAGTGAAATTGTCCGATATAACGACATCATTAAAACAAATGGACTAAACTGCGGAACGTAAGTTACCTTGGTTATAAAATTCACCTATCATTAGGTAACTTGCCCAAAGTTTCGACAAAACCAACGCTTACCTTACTGGTTGCGATTGGGCCTCAACTTGAACAGATAGAGGTGGCAGAGCGCTTTCTGTACAGGATTTGCTGTCCCTTCTCTTCCTTAAAGATGATTCTTAACTGTCTTGATTGTTTGCATATCAAAATAAAACGCATTTATTCGAGTTTGTCGCAAACAAAGTTGCAATTTTACAGCGCTCAGTTTACGGTACCATGAAAAAATGTCTTCACTCATTGTGTATTCAAGGAAATTTCAACCGAGAAATAGACGCATGTTAAGAACTAAAATCTGAATACCCATATCATGAGAAAGATCACGTTGTGATCTTTTGCTCGGAGACAAGCCTTATTTCTTTGCCATAGGAGTGATTTAGATAAATTATTTTGAAAAATTGATGGCAATCATTTTAAACCAAAATATCTCTTAGACCAATGTCTCTTTCCCCCGTCACGTTTTCTGGGTGAACAATAAGGCACCTAAAACGAATTATTATTATTTATTTATTCATTCAAAAAGTTATTATTTACTCACCTGCCTATGATCCAGTGGCACCTTCATTCTGGGCAACACCGGAGAAAATCTAAAAACTTTTCCGACGTAAGACCGCAACAACTGCGGAAACATGCGCAGTTTTTTTATTATCCCGGATATCTCACCTATAATGACGTCACATAGAAGTCTCTTCTCATTGAGGCAAGTCATTCACGCATAGTTCGACCTTTGTCCATCTGGCGAAAGAGGACAAAGCACATGATTCTTTTTGCCTACGCCGGGCTCTCTCTCTCCCTCTTGTGAGAAAGACTAACTGTTTGCATAGTGAAATTGAGGTTGTCGCAGTTGCTCCTCTGACGCCACCTTTCACTTCCCCATTAAAACATCAGATTTTAAGTTTCTTTTCCAAATTCACTTTTTTTTCGAAGAAGGTTTTCAAAGAAATTCGACGATTATAACAAAGCTTCTGATAATTCAACTTGTGAATAGTATTGAAGGATGCTCGGTCTTTTCACAGGCTTCAATCAAATCAACCTTAGAGGTTCAAATTTGGATAAGGATTGTATAATATCTGGCCGACAGCGCCGAAAGAGGGCAAAGTACACAAAAAATCAACTTCTAAAGCTGGAATTAGAATTTGAGAGGAACCCGTACCCTAATTCATGGGAACGCGAAACTTTGGCTCAGCAGCTTGGAATCCACGAGACAAGAATCCAGGTAAAAACTGAAGGAAAATCCTGTCAGGAATCAGGCCTAACAACGGTATGCTGGGAAGTAAATTCTGATTGGTTAATCTCGCGCTCTAATAAACTCTCAGGTCTCGGATATACATCTGGGCTATATCCAGGCTTCTGAAATCAATGAAATACTTTTTAGAGAAAGAGGTTGTTTAGTTAGATATAGATTAAAAAGAGTCAACTGGGATGTGACAGGGTTTGAACGATTGTTTCAGTTAAGAAAAGAAAAACAAAGGACAATTCTGTTTAAATGTTCACTCTTTCAACGAGGTAGGACTGTCATTACTTAACTGATAAGACATTTAAACATATTTATCATCCTCCAGGTATGGTTCTCAAATCGCCGAGCGAAGGGAAGAAGAGAACGTTTTGGTGATGAGGGTAGTCAAAGGCAATCCATTTCAGCCCCAGTTTGCACATGTCACACATACCGCCAGCCGCTTCGCGCCCCGTGGGTGATGGAGACCAGTTTTCCAACATTTTTCTTTCCACCACCTGGATACTGGACCTAGTCAAAAACCATTGGTGCTCTTTTTAAGTCTTGGACTGCGAGCTTTTATTTATACAACGGGGAGCCGCGTTCCCATACTTCAAAAAAAAAAATAGGATTTGCGATGCCAGGATAGAATGTCTCTATACATGCATAGATTTGTCGATTAAGCAGTAATCGAGGTTATGCGGTTTTAATTTTCAGGGGCGTGGTAAGCGAGCAAGCGCTCAAGGGATAACCTAGTTTGCTTTCAATTCAATCTGCACATCAGAAATAAAAAGGCTCATCAAATTTTTTTTTGTTATCCATATTTCCTTGGACATCATGAGCTTTGTACACTAAATTGCAGAGACGGCTTCAAGGTCAGGTGCAAGCAAGAGCCATGAAGTGACCGTTGTATCGGCCATTCCTAAGTCCGTTTTTATATGCCTCAAACACCTCACACGATATTTACTAAATTTTTGCCAAAACTTCTAAATGTTCTGAATTGTAATAAGAAGTAAAGAACAACAGAAACAAAAGCAGGTTTAGACTCAAAATCCCGAAAAATATTCTAAAAATCTCTCCAAAACATCCTGAATATTGATCCCAGAAAATCTTCTAATATCTTGGATTTTTCCAGGCGAATTCTCAGCCTCTCCCACATTCCCTAGAAAAGAAAATTGCATGCAGATTTTGCACACTATTTAGTACTTTAATCACACATGAGGTACTGATCAGATTTGTTTATTATAACAAATCGTGCCTCTTTGGTACACTTGGGCGGGGAATCAGACCAGTATGGTATTTTGACTCCACTGCCACTCGCCAGTATAAGAAGTTAGTTATGCCTTCGAAACATACCAAAAATGTACGATTAGGTGATCATACCGTGTCCAAATTCACCAAAAATCCGGTGATGTTATGAAAAGTTACGATAGTGAAATCTACCATGCGTCCTTCCGTCAATAACGAGAAATGTAACAAATTGTGGTAACAAAACATGTGTAAAATCCCTTTCTGCAAAACATGATGACGATTGAAAATGAGAAAATTACATTGTATACCTTAGTTTAAATATTACATTTTATGGAAACGAATATATAAGCTGAAAAAATTCAAATGTCCCATGGAACTCTCTGCAGCTTTAAAAACGTTCAGCTAAAGATACCAGAGGTTAAGTTGCTATTAATGGTGCATTCTCAAAAAAGACTAACTGCAGTAGAATTTAAAGAATTATGCAAATCTTTTGAGTTTAACACAACTGAGAGGATCGCCTGAATTTGAAGTCAAGGCTGGCTCTTGCCTATTCGAACACATTTACCTCCTTATCATTATTGAAATTGTCCTCTGTCTTTATTCAGGGGTTGAGGCGTAAGTGTGGAAGTTTGGAACACCGGGATATCCATAATCTGACCGTTCGAAGTTGTTTGAAATAAAATTTTGGTTGTTGCTTTTGAATGTTGGCATCTTTCCCTCTGATCCTCTGTGCCCTTAGTTCCTCTGGTCACCTGTATTCACTGTTCCTCTGTTCCTCTGTAGCCACTTTTCCTCTGATCCTCTATGCCCTTTGTTCCTCTGGTCCTCTGTGGTCACTATTTTTCTGGTCTACTGTACCCATTGTTCCTCTGGTCCTCTGTGGTCACTATTTCTCTGGTCCACTGTACTCACTGTTCCTCTGGTCCTCTGTGCCCACTGTTCCTTTAGTCCTCTGTATCCACTGTTCCACTGTTCCTTTGGTCTCTCTATCCATTATTCCTCTAGTGTTCTGTACCCACTGGTTCTTTGGTCTTATGTGCCCACTGTTCCTCTCCTTCTTTGTACTTCCTTTGGTCCTTTATCCCTCACTCCTCTGCCAACAGTATACCTTTAAATATAAATTAATCAGATCCTGTATACGAGACACTGTCCCCGCAGTGCGACACAGACTTGCAGGTCAGCAGGAACTGCTTACGAACAAGGGATAAGATTTTAGCCTCATAAAATCTAAGACCCTCTAAATTCAATAATATCTTCCCGAAGAAAGTGACGATGTTTCAGGATTTAATTTTCATGTAAGAGTAGTTTTGAATGTTAAAGAAACAGTCGTTCTCACCGTTAGACGGACATCAACATGGCTGTTATTCTGCATAATCTCAACAGATCTCTCAACAAGTCAGGAAATCGAATTTGACCCCAATTGTTCAACGAATGAGGCTTTTTTAAATTCTTTTGTGTTTCCCAGAGATGTATCTTTATAGACTGAGAGACTAAAGTTGCTTTGGTAAATATTGCCAACCTATTAAGAATAAGGTCGAATGGTTGTAATAAAGGGGTGGGAAGGGGCGTGATGACTGACATTATATATTAGGCAAACTTTTACGTTCACGAATCAATAACTGTTCCACTGTAAAATGGTGTACACACCATGATTACATTGTCAATTCTAATGTTCGAGTTTCCGAAAGCCGTGGGGTTTTTTTGCCAATTATTTTCTGTTAGTGATGTTGAATTTTCCGGCAGCTCCTGAGCATGACCGACATGCTGCAAAAACTCGTAATACAAATTATCATCGAAAAGGTCATAAGTTTCAAAGCTGTGTATCTTAGAAGCTACGCTTTCCCCGCCTAAGTTTCACTGATACTTCGTTATCATCAAGAATATATTTTTTTTCAGCATTTTAAGAGCTTATTTTGAGTAAGCTAATAACATTTGTCTTCAATTTTAAATCTCCATCTGCGGCTAAAGACGTCTTCACTCAGCCAGAGTTGTCGGTTTATAAAAATGCGAGTTCAGGCTTAAAGTTCCTGGTAAATACTATCGACGAAGTGTAAGGGCTTGTAGAGGAAGGCGAGTTGACTGATCAACTGCAAAAGCTTAAGGCACCAGTTAATTTAATTTCAATTATTGTTGTTTCGCTCCAGCTGCTTTTCAAGTATCATGATCTTTACGTTATCCGGATTTCCGCTCCGTTGTTACATGTTACGCGAATCAGTCAACTAAATATATCCAAAAGATAAACTTTAGATCTACTTTATTTTGAAAGCCTGAAAATATGAGAGAAGTTAGAAATAATTTAAAATATGGTAAGTGTATAAAGATAGAGGTTACATGTCGCGTGGTGTGACACTTAAGATCCACACAATGATTTGAAACGACAGATTGTATGATGCATACTTCATACTTTATTACGTTTTTACGTTTATTCTTACCTTCATGTCATATGATCTTATCAATAAATTGTTATATTAACGTTAGTAACGATAGAAATCTCATTATTGGTTTAGATAGGTGAAAGAAAGCACTCAAAGATTATTGCGAAAGAGAGATCATTTGGACCCGTGCATGAGTTATTCCTGCAAGGCAGATAACACGTTCCGACGACACGAGAAATTGACAGCACGTGGACACACAAAAACATGTCACAAG